GCGACCTTGGAAAGCAACATATATATATGTAATAAAAAAAAGAGAAAAAAAACAAACAACATCATCATTGCATTCCAATAAATTGGGAATTATTTTTCAAGATTTTAATTTCTCAGAGCCTCAATTGCATTGAGACTCGTAATATATAATTATTTTTCGTAGCAAAACCTCTCAATAAAGAGATTTCAATTTTTTCAGAGTCTTATAAACAAAAGACTCGAACAAATGTTATATTTTGTCATTGATTCAATGCCTGAATATTATATTTCATCAATAGGTGAGACCATCCTTTGGTCTCATACTACTATATGTTTGTCATAAGGAATACTTTTAAGTAAACCGTCTCTTTTGAATTTTCAATTTAATAAAACAAACCAAAAAATGATAAAGAGTGTGTGTGGGTGTGGATGTGGGTGTGAGTGTGGGTGCAGTTAGAGAGAAGACTCTCATCCATGTCTACTCACCCACACCCACACACTCTATTCCTAAGAAACTTGGTCATGTTATAAAAAATGGTGGAGAACAAGTATGTAATAGTTAAATAAGATTGTTGTATAATTAGATTATTATATGTATTTATAAACCAAAGTTTTTTTTTGAATAAAATATCATATTGATCGATTTTGAAAAATTTATCATTACATTTTTTTGTTGTCATTTTCATTAATACAAGAGAAGATTTCATCCAATAATATACCACTTGATGGACCGTCAAGAGTACTCAAAGCTGATACAAATACATATAGGTTAGAAGTTGTTCTGGATGTGCATAGAAACTAACTTTGTCGCATATTAAAACTTGTGAAACACCCTGTATTATAGTTTTTTGAGAGAAGTCACAAGCTTCATCATATCTAGCTTGTAGATACATCGTGTTACCCGTATCACTAAGAGTTCTACCAACATTTGCATGAATGCTTGGATTGCATTTCTCTTTGATCACTAGTGCTTGTTGTTGAAATTCAAATGCTTTATCGTACTGTTTTTGTTTGTTTAAATTGTTTGCGATAGAATTAAGACACGAACCTGTACTAGCATGGACATTCGGATAGAATTTCTCATATATTTTTAATACCCTTTGCTTCAACTCGAAGGCTTCATCGTACTTTGTTTGTTGTTCTAAAACATATCTGATGTGTTCTAGATTATCAGCAATTTCAACTTAATCAGATGGACAAAATTGTTCTCTGGTGGAAAGTGCTTGTTGATAAGTTGCGATAGTTTTATCATACTATTTTAGATGCAGTCGAAGATAAAAAATCTTTTTAAGATCATTCGCAATTTTTTTATGATCTGATGAATAATGTTCTTCGCTCATTGCTAATGCTCGTTGTCGATAAACGAGTGCTTCATCGTATTTTGTCTTGATCGCAAAGTGCATTAGCGATATTATGAAGAAGAGTAGTATTGTTATTATAGTCAGATAAATTAAGTTCTTCAAAGATTGTTAATGCTTGTTGATAGTAATCAAGAGCTTCATCGTAGTTTTTTTTGGTTTCTGAGGATAATACCCATTTCGTTGAGAATCCTAGCAATTTCTAGACGATTTAAAGAACAATTGGTTTCTTGTATACTAAGTGCTCGCTTTTGAAAAGGCTGTAGGTGGGTGTGTACGTGCGTGTAGTTAATAGTCTTTTCGACACTCATATCCACATCCAATACGCACAGTCACACTCCGCTGAAAAGCTTCTTCTCTTGTCGTACGACTTATCTCTCAGCAGAAAGAGAAAGAACGTCGATTATTCGTTGAAGATTATATTGTAATTCGTGTTTCTTCATACATAATTCATTTCAAACGATAACAAAAAATGGCGACTCTATCATATTCATGCTTCGTTCATTAATGCACAAGTCCGTCATGCATCGTGTGCACTCATTCTGATCATTACTTTTGCGATAATTATTTGAACAAAAAAAAAGCATCAACTTATTGAAAAGCTGTCTCATCTAGCTAATACCGTTGATAAACTTGTCGTTCGATTATCGTCTGTCGAATAAAACCCGTCGGATTGGTCTCGGACCCACACTCGCTCGGGTCCGAGTCTGAAAATATTTTGTTAAGCAGATCCAGGTCCGAGTTCGAAAAAGGTTTGGACCCAGTGGGTCCTAATGGTATGAGAAATGTGCAGTTTATGCTAGTCACAGAATGCAAAAAATCGGGAGAAAGCATCCGATATCTTCGGAATGATTATTCAATTACAATTAAACCTTTCCCCACAAAAGAAGATCCATTATAATTGAAAACTTTGCTTGGAGAAACAATGCAGTGGATGTAATAGAAGGCGTTCTATATTAATTAATTTTTCGAATATCCGAAATTGAATTAGTGCCATTATATCAAAAGATACTTGGTTTTCAGGGATTCGAGTTGAAAATCTTAAAAGACTGAGATCAATGTTTTTTTTAACTTTTAAAACAATAAAAATCTAATCTCAAATCCCCAAAATTATTTTGGTTTTCTGAAAAGCTTTTTTAATTAAAAATTATGGAAAAAAATGGAATACAATTGAAGATCACTCTGAAAATTTTGTATGCTTGGACACAATAGGAGAACCGGGATCTTTCGTTACGGGGAGGGTTTAGAAAATTTTTGTTGAGAATATCAAAGTCGGGTTCGATCGGGTCCGGGTCCAAAAATTTTGAACCCGACGGGCTCTACTGTCGAACCATTCTATCTGGAACAACTTGAGCAATGACATGAAGCGGCTGACTATTCTGTCGATGATTATTGTGAAAAAAAAGCGTCACAACTTAAAAAGAATAAGATATAGCCCAAGATTAATTCGCTTTAATCAATCACAATATCCAATTAGAAAAGATCAAACTCAATGAATTCGAACATCTTCGATTTAATTTTTATCCATTAATAATCGATGAGAGTCTTATTGCTCAACGATATCTCTTTCCTCTATCTCATTCAAATCAAACAATACATATAAAAACTGGTATCGAAAGTTCCGTTGGCACAAATGAGAAAACACAATCTCATCAATCAAGAAGGGAAATATTTGTGTTTACTCGATCGAAATTTAAGTCTTGCCAACGAAACGCCATTTACTCACGAAAGCATTCATAGTGTTTGTTGATCATCGACCATCGCTCGCTTTATCATCACCACTTTCGAAGAAATTTTAATGTTCGTTGAGAAAACAATGATACTCGAAAGTGTTCTATCTGCAACATGTTCAGATAACCTTTTATTCTTGTTGACAGCAGAATGGGGCTCATCAATTTATGAATTTAACCTTGGATTTGTGCTTGAATTCATCAAGGAATGTTATGTGCTTGTCATTTGCGAAAAGAACGAGATTATTTATGGTCTCAAATACAATAGCGGCTTTCTCGCTGATCCTATCTTCAGCAAACACAGGTATGAGAGTCGTCTTGATCTGCGCTCATTAACGACGTTCGACTGTATCTGGTCAATTCCAGAGATCCGACACGTATAAATACAGCAAGTACAAGTATTGTACTTTTACTTGTGTTTTTTCAACTATATTTACTCCTGTACTTGCCCTTGTACTTAAATACAAGAAAAACAACGTTGTACTTTTACTTACAGTACACAAGAAACTTCGACGTTTTTTGTATTTCTTTCCTTTTTCAACAGTTGTTGCTGAGTTATTTGGCTGAAATTTACTAGTGTCTTAGCTGAGAGATTGTAGAATATTCTGATAAATTGTTAAAAATCATCCATTTCCTCTGTTGCAGCACTGCATCATCAGTAGCTTTCTACCAAATTGGCTTAAAAGTCTTCAAGAATGCAGATTCGTAGTTTATTAATCAAAAGCAAAGACTGCTTTACTGAGCTTTCAAACGTTTTATGTCATATTTCAAAGATTAAATAGAAAATTAGATCTGAAATTTGGCCGATGGATAACTACGACACATCTTAATCTTCCCGAGAGCTTTATCAGAAGTTTTTTATTCAGTTCTTTCCGATGATTTTCTATTCTACTTCTATATGTATTTGAACGATTTTTTTTTCCAAAGCTATTCAATGCTTTGAATCTGTTTTATATATATAGATGTCGACGAATGTAGCTCAAAAGTGAAGACGGACTAATTAGCCGTAGATGAAACAATATAATACCTCATGTGTGACAAATGAGAATTTTTACGATAAATTACATCTGTTCCACGAAAGAGACAGGCGGAAGACTTGAAACCCATGAAACATGTTCAAGGATGATGGTGCACTGGCATATATCTGACGAAAAAGAAAGATACTTGACAATACTTTGAAAAGTTTTGTTTTGTACTTGAAATAAAAGTACGAAGGTTTTTTTCTGTACTTAAGTCCAAGTCCAAGTATAGGGGTAAGTATACTTGAAAAAACACAAGTAAAAGTATAGCTTTGAAAAGTTGTACTTATACTTGAAAAAGTACAAGTACATCTACTTTCGTCCTGTTTCTGGTTTGTTCGTATTCATGGACGCTGTTGTTCAATTGATGATGATCAATGTTTGGTTATGGTTCATGATGTTTATCGATTCTTTCAGATCTCAGCCGACGGGCGACTTTTGAAAACAAACACATATGACGAACATGAACGACTTGACGATATCATTCCGTAGGGCAAAAATGGCATTTTCGTCTTGACTAAGAAAAATGTTAACTTGCATGAACTTTGATAAATCAGACTTTTTAAAGAATAAAGATAGAATATTAGTTTATTTGGTGAGAAATAATTGAAAAAGTATCACAGTTGTCAACAAAATTTGAAGAACTCAGGAAGATATGTTCGAAAATAATCGTTTCTAGGGTGAGACTTTAACATAAAAGACAAAATTCAGTATCAACACATGCATTTCATCCCATGACTAAGTAAGATAGTGTATTACGCTAGACAAAATTGTTTTAATATTTTTTGTTTTTTGAAAAATTTTAGATCTATCAATTCATACAGTCAAGAGTTTTCATTTCTACAAAAGCAAAAATACAGCACTGAGAAAAAAAATAATGCGTTACAGTTATTAATTATTGATTGAAATAGTGTATTATTCTCCGTAACCGCTAAAATTACCACATCCGTCGCTGTATCCTTCACTACATCCACCACCATCGACATCCATATCAATATCGCATTGACTTTCTCTACTTTCTCTACTTTCGCTACATTCATCACGTTCGCTGTCTGAATGACGTCTATTGCTACTTTCTCCACCCCCATCACCAGGATCTCCTCCGTCAGCACTCTCTCCCTTGATTGTTCCACTACCATGACTGATACCTCCACTAATATCACCATATTCACCGGTTGCATATATAGCAATTGGTGGAATTATCATTGCACAGGAGCTAATGAGTCGAAATTTTCGTAAATAACCTTTGTCAATAGTCTTGCCATAATCTGTTTTATAAGTCATCTTACATTGATGAGCCGTTTTCTGATAAGCATCTGTTAGAAGATTTTGTTAAATAAAATCATTATGATCAAGAATAGAACCGCACAAAGCTATAGAAGCTTTCTGAGAATGTGAAGGAAATCTCATATGTGTATGCCATATTAAATCAATATCAAACGTCGGTACAATAATTTCGTTTTCTTTGGATAATTTCAAAAATGACACATAATTTTGTACCATTTGTTCGAATAAATTTCGATTCATATGTTGTAAATCCATTGAAAATAAATAATGTTTTTTGAAATTTTCCAGAAAAGTACGTTGATAAAGTATGGCACTAGTTAGATCAAGCGAAGGAACAAATTTCAAATGTCCTCTTATCGATTCGGATGACACATTTAAATGATGTTTTTGATATTGTTTTATTGTTAATCTTAGACATCTTTTATCGACCAACTGACCACTTGATAATTGTCGAATACAATCATTATTATAGGCAATTGGATGAAGTCGATGAACATGCCAAATCTAGTCAATTTGCCAAGGAAGTTCTAATTGTTGATGAATAGTCGTCATAGTCTGGTCAGACATACGTTTACAATAGTCTTCGATATAATAATCTAACACTTCTCCTTTTTGAATCATTTCTTGGTGTGCGATCACTTGACGAAGTAATAAAATATGATCAATTAATTCAAAATTCGATATTTCAAATGTTTGGCCATCACTTGTAACAATAGTTGCATCAAAATGTGGTATTAAGTGTGAGAAGAATGCATGTGAATTGCCCATGTTTCGTTAATATTGCCGGGTTTTCAATATGAATTTTGTCTTGAACTAAAATAGTTCGATACTCATGCTTTTCAACAAATCGAGCAATGGATAAAACGCGAATGATCACATGGGAAAATTCCCTTGTAGTCAGAGGCACAAATATCGGAGGTAGGGGGTGCACCCCAAATATTGAAAATTGAGCGTCTTTTTGCTTAGCAACAGTAGTAAAAGGTCTGCTGTTCTGGCCCTAAAATTTTCGCTTCCGGACGCCAAAAAATCGCTCACCGATTCGAAAAAGTTCCCCTCCCCCCTCTAATTTTTAGATCTTATTTGAGCCTCTAGTTGTAGTTCAATATGAATTAGTTCATAACGTCAGAAAACTCTTTCAGGCTATTTGACAACAGTTCTCAGTTCTTCAATAGTATGATACTTCATTGATAACTTCTGTACAAAAAGTCGTGGTACAACATTAAAACGCATATTTATCCGTTAGGAAAAATGCTTTTTCAATCGAAACGTGTGTTTTAAAATCTGCACAATGTCATCTCTTCTAATCTTTTCTTTTCAGAAATTGTTTAATATTTTTCGTCCGAAAACTACAGGTGTTTTATTAGGAGTACTAAAAAATATCTTTGTACAAGCAAAAATCCAGTTATTTTGAAGATGTGCTGTACCTGATATTACTCTTAATGAGTTTTCCTTATCATATTCAGATTATAGAGCAAATATTTATCTTCAAATCTATCTATTTCACGTCTTGGTAGTATATTTCTGCAAAAAGTTATAAACATTTGAAGGTACGGCAATGCTAAAATGAAAAAAAGTGTAACTTTTATAACAGAGTCCTTTTTGAAATGTGTATAGCGTTTCAATAAAAAATAATTACAGAAGATTGAGCAACATACGATTTTGTAGAGAAATATTCACTCGATAATTTACCAACAGAACTAAAATTTTTTGTTTTCAATGTAACGTACTTATTGCTTACTTTATAAAAATTGTCTCTTTTTTTCCTAATATCAACACATTTTTAGCATTCTCAATAAAACATCTGTAGTTTTCGAAAGAAAAATGCTCAAAAATTTATGAAAAAAGATTTGAAAAGATGACATCATGTAGATTTTTAAATATACGTTATGATTGAAAAAGCATTTTTTCTAACAGAGAAATATGCGTTCTAATCTTGTGTCAAGACTTTTCTACAGAGATTATATTTATCCACTTATGTAATGATATTCTACTTTTTTTTGTTAACAACTTGCAAACATGAATCCCTCAATGACATCAACGTTCACAAATATTTTGAGGTATAACCTACTATGTTTGTTTGGTGAGAAATGATTGATTTAATCGACCGAATGTCAATATAGAGAAACGAACATCATAGCTGTTTCTTCTTGTCTCTCGACATTAAATTTGCAAGCTGGATGGCTCATTATATTTGAAAGAGTGGTATTTAACCGTACGAAACATTTTGCCTTATCTATCGTAAAAGAGTAGACATATACCATTTCAGCTTCCTTTTCTCTCTGTCCATTTTTTATCTCATGACAGAACGAAAAAGAGTATGATATTCATTAATCTCTTCTCTTGTTCTTCTAGTCTTTTCTCAATTTTTTACTATTGTCAATAGCTAAAATTTGTGAAGATTATATGAATTTAATAAATAACATCAAATCCAATAGCTCAACATCACGTTACATAATAAATTTGAATTTTCAGGAAAGAGGAACTCGTCACCATCTCTCCAAGTTTGACAGGGCAATGACGGAAAAGTTGTGCATTATTAACAAATGGAACAAAAGTAAATGACGATGGGAATATTATAAAAAAAAGGGTGTGGGTGTGGATGACAGAGAAGAAGACGCTCACACACCCGCACCCGCACCCACACCCACACCCACACCCTCTGATGAAGTCGAGTCGTAAATAATTATTAATGTCCAGATTTGTCAAATTCCGTCGATTATTTGTGAGTATGAATGTTGTTTTTTTCGAACAAATGAAAAGTTCAATTCAATACTAAGAAATAAAATGTATCGATCAGGTTCAAGTTCGAATAGAGAATATAGAAATCTTTCAGTGATCATCACATGCATTGCAAATGAAATTAATTTATTTCGAGTTGGAACCAATCAACTGCTGTTGATTTTTTTTTCTTTTTCTTGACAGATGACGGTGACGAAAACAAAAATTGAATATATGTTGTCATTCGAGAAAAGAAAGAGATTCGGTAAAGAAGACTGTTTGTTCGATTTCAACGCGTCGTTTGCTTAAGGTAATGTAAGTTCTTTTTTCGTTTACCGTCATTATTTCAGGACATAAACAACATCGTTTGTTAATATAGCGACAGGAAAGAAACGAAAGCAATTGATGAATAAAAATCCGGTGTATTAATCAATAGTACTATTCTTATTTGCCAGTGAATTCAAAGTCTTGGTTTTTTTCAATAAAGTGATCATTTCGTTTCTCTTTATTTTTTAGATTTTCTTGTTGTTCTATTTGTGTGCTCTGCTATTGAATGGAACTAAATTTCGATGAAATAATGATCGATAAGTTTGCTTTCAGTGCACGATTAGAGATTTGCTCGTTTAATAAAAACATTTTATATTCATTTAGATGACAAACTGGACTTCATGAATATTACTTTGAAAAATTTCATGAAAAAACAACAAGATTCATATCTCATAAATAGATAAGGACGTATCATTTAAAAGAATTTAACTATCCCATGTCTTATTTACATGTTTAATATCATCAAAAGTGTAGAACTTGATTAGAAAAACAGAGCTTTTACACTTTAGGACCCAACACAATCAACTTTTTAACTCTAACTCACACTTTCGTGCTTGTGTTGTAGCCGAGCAAATGCCTGAGGTTTTGAAATATAAAAGCATCGAAAAAAAAATTTTATTATTCTATGATGAAAAAAACCAACCATTAAAACTTTTTAGAAATTTTTCCTTGTTAAAAAAACTCTCGAAGGTTGTTGTTGAACAAATAGTTTGTTAGAATAATCTTTGACAGAGTAATGAGTTATGTATTCAGGATTTTATTTGTCTAGATAAATGTCAATCTCAAAATAAGCACAAACAGGAGAAGGAAACAACTCAGGTCGAACGATACGGTTCATATACTATATAATACGGCCTTGCATTACTGTGTCCACAATTACGAGAGAATACAGCTCCGTTACAATGCCATATGAAGCAAAGTTATAGTGAAAATACGGATAGCCGTATCCATTGACCTGAAAAGTTTTTGATTTCATGATGTGTTAACAAATATTAATCCAACAATACAATATACGGAAAGTAAAAAAGGTAGTAATTTTGAAGAATTATTTCATGGCAATAGACTAAATTTTATATAGTTAGTTAGTGATAACTTTTTATCCACGGAATGTGTTTCAATCGTTGAAAAGAAATATGATGTTGTCGGAATAGCTGATATATCTCAACTGTTAAAATATTTACGATCGATCATTCGAGTTTCTCATGAACAAAAAAGATGCAATCGAATGTTCAAAGAGTTATAAATTGATAATTTTTGTTAAAATATCACTAATTACTCAAGTCAATGGATACAATTCGTATACGGCCGTTTACGATTACTTTACGACGCATAAACAAGCCGTATCAGAATGAGATTACGGCACGTATACCATCGTATACGTTGCCGTATTACTGTGTCCACCATTACAAGAAAATACGGTCGATTTACAATGTCATATGAAGGAAAGTTACGGTGAAATTACAGATAGCCGTATCGATTGACCTGGACAATGATGAATTTTATTACGAAAGATTTCCTTCCGCAAATGTAGTTGAAGAGTATTGGAAATTTTCTCGCTGAAATGGAATTCATTTAGGACATGTGAACTTTATTCCAGATGTTTTGTAATTAAATCATTATTATGTAAATATTACTTGAAATAAAAATAAATTTTGTTTGAAATTTCTTGTGATAAAACTAACAACAATTTCGCATCACATATTCATGTAGCTCTGATCACATTGTTATATATATTAGATTATTATTTATACAGTATCTTTATTAGGACTGGTTATCAGACCATATTCTCAATGAAAGAAAATGATTTTGGTTTCGAATGTCATGTTAGAAAATTATGCAAGTTTAACAGAACTGTTCAGTAGCTTTTCAAAAGAGTTTTCAGAAAAATTAATTATTTTAGTTTTATTTTATCTTCCGAATGAATTTAACCGAGTGTTCGAGGTGTTTTCAAT